GTAGAAAAGCAAAAATAGTCTGGCTGCATCCTCAGAATCCTTTTATTACGCTTCTTAGTGAGTTCTCGAGGGCTTGGTTTTCTTATATTGAACAACACCTAAGACTCTCCTCAGTATTATCTCACTGGGTCTTAGGCTCTGATATAGGAACTTAGGGAGTCGTGTATGTAAACAAAGCCATAAAAGGCATGTTTTCCCAATTGATCTTGCAAGATTTTTGATCACACTTGTGTATTTGCTTATCCTTTATTTGGTGATGATGCTAGGAACAGAAACCAAAGCCTCATTTTAGCCAGTGAACACTGAGTTACCCCTGCAACCCTCCATAGGTCTGATAGAGAATGCCACCTACTTGTCAGGGTAAAGCTTCCTGGAATATATGTAAAACAGAAGGACAGATGTTTAATGTTACTTTTTTCTTACTCTTATTAATATTTAAATAAGATCTAATATATATATATATATATATATATATATATATATATATATATATATATTCGTCCAGGCCTCCCTTCCTCTTTCATTTTTTTTTTTTGATGACTGTGTGTCCATTCATTCTCTTTTTTCTGCTTGTGTATGTGTGGCATATTCACAAGCGTGCACATGTCTGCATGTGCATCTGTATGGGCCAGAGGTCACTATAAGCTACCTCCTCTTACCATTCTTCAATACATTATTTGGAATCAGGAGCACAGCAATTTGGTTAGACTAGCTGAAGAGAAAATCCCTTGGATCGGCCCTGTCTCTACTGCCCAGCCCTAAGGTTCACTAAAGAGGATTGCCTCTGGGAGAAGGGGGGCCATGACCATTGTGTCCCAGTGATTGGCCCCACATCTGTGAGGACTCAAGTAGCACTAATTTGACTTGATGTGCTGTTTTACAGGAATAAAAAAGAGGGCAAGTAGGTGAAAGGGGCTGGGGAGATGGGAGTGGATCTGGGAAAAGTTAGAGGTAGAGTGGGGTGAATATGATCACAATACATTGTGCAAAATTCTCAAAGAAATAATAAAAATGAACAATTGGTTAGTTTTGAGGAACATGTAGGCCTGTTGTTTTCAATGAGAATATGTGGTCCATTAGAGTTTCCAGAAGATCTTCAGTGATGAGCAAGGGTATTTATAAAACCTTTATTAGGAAATTAGATGCCAGATAGATTCTTGAATTAGACATCAATATATGGAACTACTTTCATCAGTGCCCTGCTTATATAGATTAATTTATAATTGACTTAGAATTGCTTTTTAAATTTTTATGTCCGATGTTGGAAAGAACGTGCTTTTAAACCGTGCTTTGCATATTTAGGTCTTATTGAATTTATAAGTTATTTAAAAACTGAGAATCTGAGCTTCCAATTCGAAGTGGTGAATTCTCACACACATTCCCTTTAAATCTGAATCTTCTGTTGTCTTAGTAAAGTCACTATCCCTTATTTAGAACGTTTTGTGTAGACTTCTAAGGAGTGCAAAACTATAACTGGATAGTCCATGCATTCTTACTGTTTGGTTGTTATATTACTTTGCTTTGCTTACTGGTGTATTGTTTGGTAAAAATATACTACACATTGCATAGTACATCTTAGAAATTACTACACTGTTCTGGTATTTGGCACAGTTTGTTTTGTGCAGTATTACTAGTCATGCAGTTACTTTCGTTCTATTATTCCTTGAACACAATTCTAAATGGCCCAAGTGCTGTCTCTGCCTTCTGTCTCTGTCGTTCTGCTTACTGTCACCTTATTCTTTAATGGCAAATGCTACTGGAGGCCTCCTTTGTTCCTTCACTTGTGATTCATTATAATCAGAATCTACACAAACTCTTGTCTTTACCCAGGGCACCATCTCTCACTCCAGCCTGTTTCCTGGGCAGCCATTATTCATCATTTTATTTGCTTGATTATCTGTTTAATATTTGACTCCCCGTGCCCATTGTAAGCTCAGTAAGGAGATGATTGTATCTATTATGGGGCACTGTTGTGTATCTATTGCCCGCAGAGGACTAAGCATGTAGTTGGTGTTCAGTAAGTATGTGTTAAATGAGGTGAACGAATATCTTTCAGACCGATTAAGTTGTGCTCCAGTGTTTTTTAAACACCCGAGTGTTAATTGCCTGAAGGAAGCCTGTAAGCTGTGTTAGTTTCCCAATTTTTAGAATTATTCCATTTTTCTTTTTATTGATTTATATTGGAAACAAAGGACACACATGATATCTTAAACAGTGACTATTGATCTTTAGGTAAGCTTGGCCTTAAGATTAATGTCTGAAACACTCCCCAAAACAAGGTCTGGTTGTGTCACCAAGGAGTTTTCCTGTGAGGCAGTCGCATGAATTTTCGTGAACATTAGACTAGCAGTACAGACAATAACACAGAAATTCCCAGTACACAAGTTCTCATTGCCTGAAGGCTGTTGGTGGTGAACAGTTTTCTCTGAATGGCTGAGGAATGTGCTGTTATTTTGTTGGGTTAAACAGAATGTAGTGGGAGTTTCATTTTCACAGACTGCCATGCTCTTAATACCTCATCAATACATTTGTGAATGTTAATTTTAGTTTAATATTAATTAATTAATATTAAAGTATATTAATATTAAATATTAAAGTATATATTAAAGTATATATCAATATACTTAAATTAATATTAAAGTATATATCAATTTTCTGATGGAATTTGATAAAAAAAATTATGAGTGAGTTATTGAAGAATTCATGCAAGGCCGTGTCCACAGGCATTTTAGTTATGCATAGCCCATGGTTTAAGGAGTCTGGTTTTAAGTTTGGCTGGAAAAAGGACAAGTGGTATGAAAAGTTTGCACATAGCATTAGGAGTAAAGAGGGTAAACCGTTTCAACAAGGTAATCCATTGAATAGTCACCAAAAGAGGTGATATGTGGGTGTCTATAGAAAAGCAAAGTTTCAGTAAATGAATCAATAAGACACCTCTGTCCCTGTTGTATGTTGATATAATTGACCTTCAAACCAAATGGGGAGTAAGTAAAAGCATCCAATGCTGATGAAACTAATTGATGTGTTACTAGTGAACCTCAGTCACAAACCCAGTCTAGACCTGAAGTCAACTAGCTTTCTATAGGCATATCCTTCAAGAGTTAATTTTATACAGGACAAAAAGCAAGAACACATCCAGATTATGTGTCGATTGACAATTTATCTCATTCTTCTGCTGAACTGAAGAATATTGACATCGGTGACAGACTGTCAAGGTCTGTCCACAGAGTAATTTTTCCTCTCCTAGGCAGTGATAACTAATGAACAAAGAGATCATCTACTGTTTTCTTGTTCTTGGGAGAACTCTGTGCATGAGAGAATAATGTAGTTCTAGCAGTAACTATGAAGACAAGTAGCTTACATTTGAAATGAAAGATAAGTGTAAGAGTTAGAAATTTTAATTTCTAAAACTGACAGGTCATTAAAGCCTTATTTTGAGGGCAAACTATTTAATATCTAATTTTGGTCCTCTTCATAAACATTTCTGACTGTAGAACCTTTGACAAGTAATATTAAAAGGCTATTGTATCTAATTTTTTTGAGTGAAACCCAAGGTTGATTTTAACATTGTCATTATAAAGTCAGTTAAAGGATATTGTTTCCCTATGCAATCTAATAAAACTAACCACATTATTTGGACTGATTTTACTCAGCTTAACTTTACTACTGAAATAGCCTAGTCAATTACTGTCCTTGGATTTATTAACTTTTTTCTCAACAGTAAGCTAAATTTGTATTGCATTTTAAACATACCATTAATTGACAGAATGCAAAGACCAGGATCATTTATTACCATTAGATCTACTTAACTTTCCCAGCCTGTCATATTTTATAGAATGAAAGTTTGTGGGTTATGGAGTTCAGTTTGAGACCTTTATCTGTGAAAGTTTAATAGCCGACTCCAGTAAACAGTGATTTATTATAGTAGTAAATATGATTAAAGGGGAGGAATTGTTTTCTATTGATCAAACAGTAGAGCAGTGGGGACTAAGCTTGTATATCAGGTCATCTACTCTCTGCCGATATTTTACTTCTAAAAACGTTTTGTTTTTATAAATACCCATTTGATAGGACCTAAGTAAATGTTATTTGGACAAAATCATGGGCAACATGCAGATTTCTTCTTCTTCTTCTCCTTCTTCTCCTTCTTCTCCTTCTTCTCCTTCTTCTCCTTCTTCTCCTTCTTCTCCTTCTTCTCCTTCTTCTCCTTCTTCTCCTTCTTCTC